TTAATCCTCACCTGAGGATGTTTTTTCTATTGATTTTTTTAGAGAATGGAAGGGAGGGGGGAGGGAGGAGGGAGGGAGAAACATCAATGGGTTGCCTCCTGCATGCGCCCCAACCAGGGCCGGGGAACGAGCCTGCAACCCAGGTCCGTGCCCTTGGCCGGAAATCAAACCCAGGACCCTTCAGTCCGCGGGCCGACGCTCTCACCACTGAGCCACACTGGCCAGGGCGGGAGCAGGCTTGACTTTCTCTGGTTGGTCCCAGTTGGAAGCAGAGGCACCAAGTCNTGGAAGAGGAGGCACCAAGTCCAGGCACGGGGCGGGCCTGTGGCATACCCAGGCCTGGTCACATCCTGCGCTCGGCCTCTCCACATCCTGTCACCAACTGCGGTCTTGGCTCTGCCGCCCGAGGCCCAGGTCCAGCAGCTGGGGCAGCCTGGCCGCAGTGACCGGTGTGTGGAGGAGCCGGGAGGCGTGGATGTCGGGCTGAAGCCGTGGGTCCTCCGTTGAGTCTGGAGGACACGGCCCTGTGCCACCCAGCCATCCAGGGCTCCCTATCCTGGGGACCACCCCGGGACTGGTCACACGGGCAGCCCCCCCCTCAGTCCACCGGTTCGAGGGAGCCAGTGATGCTGAGCTTTGGGCCGAGCGTGGCCAGGGCTGGATGGCAGGCCCACTGGGAGGGCTCCCTGCTCTGGGCCCCACTGCGCTGGGCTGGGGGAGGGGGCAGCGGATCCCCAAACCTCAGAGGAACAGGGGCGCTCAACAGCACTGGACAGAGTGACCACACACACGGGGTCGGCCAAAAACAGGAAAGAAAGAAAAAGGGACAGACACAGACACAGACACACTCAGGAGGGGAGAGAGGCGGAGGGAGAGGGGGGAATAGTCCGGGCCTGTGAGGAGCAGACCCAGCACCCAGCCTGGGGAAGATTAACCGGAGCAAAAGGGGCTCCAGGGGAGTCCCGGGCACCTCCTCCAGGAACCGTTGGGGCCCCAGGGAGCGACTTGGGGGGAACAAGGGCTGAGGGGTCCTCGAAGAGCCAGGACAGGACCTGGACCAACAGGACGAACCCCAAGTGTCCCTAAAGCACCAAGGAAAGGGGGAGCGGTCAAGGGGGGCAGGGAGGAGGGACCTTTGAGCAGATAAGGGGCGTAGAGAACAGAGATGCCTGGGAAGGGCCTCTGGAGGCCGCCCTTTTTCTGGGACAGGAAATGCCCTCCAGGGAAGGAGGGGTGACGGCAGAGGGACACCTGGTTCAGGAAAAATTTAACAGAGAACCGACCCTGCGCCTCATCCTGGTGCTACTGAAATTCAAGCTCCAAGACTCACTGAGGCCCCGGGACTCGAACCCCCAGCCAGCCAGCCTTTGGCAGGCGGGGACGGGAAACTACCCACCAATGTCCAAACCTGTAGAGTGTTTCTGAGTTTATTTGAGCCAAATTGACCATATGCCTGGGCTCAAAATTTCAAATGCTCCAGAGGACAGTCTGCAGCCTCTGATGCTGCGACTGAAATTAAGAAGGGGGTGCAGGGAAGGTCACAGGGAGGCGGGAGAAAGCCGGCAGGGATCTGGCAGGGAGAGCTAACATGGTTATGATGATAATGCAGATGCCCAGAAACGTCGCCCAGAGCTGGCAAAGACCAGCCTTTCACCAAAGAAGTTACAGGCCTGCGGGTGACCCCCCCCACCACCTGCCCAGTTAGGGATTTATCCAGGCTACTTTCTGGAGAACCCCTGGTCTTTCGGCGACAGACACCCAGGCAGGCGGAGAGATTCGGGACAGGACTGGGGACGTGGGAGATGGAATGTGCAAAGGCCCAGAGACGTTCCTCCCAGGAGGCTGCAGCCGGGCCTCTGAGGCCCCACAAGCCTGGGGGCCCCTGCACCCATGGGAGGCAGTGGGTGGAATCTGGGTGAGCTTGGGCAGAATCGAGGGACCGTGGGGCAAGGAAACTGTCACAAACAGGACAAGGCGAAAGCCCCGTGCACTAGAGGTGACACAAAAGACAGTGTCTAGACCTCAGCCGTGTAAAACTGAGGGTGTGGCTGTGAGGGGCCCGTGGGGGGTGTTCCTGGGTCCCTCTGTGGCCTCCCTGCCTCCTGAGCTCCGAGTACACAGCCTCTGCTTGTTCTTATTGGGTGATTTTGTTCATTTCTACGTCTTTTTTTTTAAATTCTCACCCGAGGATATTTTTCCCCCTATTGCTTTTCAGAGAAAAAGAGAGGGAGACAGACGTCGATTGGTTGCCTCTTGCGTGCACCCCGACCAGGGACAAGCCTGCAACCGAGGTGCATGCCCTTGGCAGGGATCGAACCCGGGACCCTTCAGTCCCTCGGTTGACACTCTGATACTGAGCCAAACTGACGGGCTCTACACGCCTTGTACTTGGAGCTCTGCTTTGCCCGTTAACCCTGTGATCCGTTCAAGTTCTCTGGGTGCTGGGTCAGGGTCCAAAGTCGCCCTTTTGCATGTGACTCCTCAGTTGCCCGGCACCAGTTGTTGAAAAGACTTGCCCAGGCCGGCACGGCTCAGTGGTTAGAGGGTCGGTCCGAGCACCGAAGGGTGGCAGGTTCGATTCCTGGTCAAGGGCACGCACCTGGGTTGCAGGTTCAATCCCCTGCCCGGGTCGGGGCACGAGCAGAAGGCAACCAATCGATGAGTCTCTGTCACTTCGATGTTTCTCTAACCCTCACCTCTCTTCTCGCCCACCCTTCCCCCTGCCTCCCACTCCCCCTAAAAAAAAAAAAAAAATCAATGAAAAGCCGGGCTTTCTCGCTGAATTTTCCTGGTGAATTTTCCTTGTTGAAATTTCTTCACTACCAGTACCCGTGGTGCAGCTTTTTGTAAAGGATAGTCTTTTCAAAGAAAAGGGCCTGGGTTTGACCTGTGAAAGGCGGGGCTGCCCTCCTGAAAAAGGGAACTTAATCTGCCTCCTTCCTGGGGCCCAAAGGACCTGCAGGTGGGGCCGGCCATGCTCCGGACTGGCTCTGACTCCAGGCAGATGAGTGTGGGGCTCCTGAACTGAAAACTCCCTGGGAGAGGGCCCCACGCTCAGACCTGCCCCCCAGGCCTTCCTGCCATGCTGGGTGCTCTGGGCCAGGGGGAGCTCTGCCCACTGCCCTCCCCTGTGCCCTAGAAACCTCACATCCCGCCCACCCCGCCCTCTGCTCTCTGTCCTGCACTGGTCCCCGGCCAAGCCAGGCAGGTCCCTGCCAAACCGCCTAACCAGACGGGGCACTTTCTCCCCAGCCTTGGTCCAGGCGGGCATTGCACAATGGGGGCCTGGCTGGGAGGAGGCTGGTGAGATGCCAACTGCCCGCTGCCTAGGGCATATCTGCTCAAATGCTCCAGGGCTGGGTGTCAGGGGTCCTGATGTCCGAATGGATGGCCCACAGACTACCTGTCCTGCAGCAGGAGGCCCCGGGCAGCTCCCACCTGTCCTGGGATGTCAAAAGGCCCCAGGGCAGTGCCCAGACCAACTCCCCCAGCCTGTCTGAGGGTCTCCCCAGCCCCTCTGGGGCTTGCTGATCAGCCCATGACCATGGA